CATCATTGGTAGCATCATTTTTTTAGTAATATTTGTGATTGCTATTATTTTAACTTTGAAATTTATCGATCAATATAAATAAGTAGTATTCTAAATAATGTAATCGCATTTAGCTTCCCGGTTAAGTACAATAAGTTGATGTAAAGGTATGGCAACTTAGTTTAATGTTAAGTTGTTACACCCCATATGAATTTTTATCAGATGTTCCAGAATTTATGAAAACAGTTGTAAAAAATTTTTTTTCAGTATATGTTTAATAATCGGGTGGTTTTTAAAAGATAAATTTTATATAATTTTATATGTTCTAAGTGATGATAAACGTTTTTTTGTCAGCATTCATAATAACTTTAAGTATAGCAAACATGAACTAAACTACACTTGATTTTCCTTCAAAAGATGAAACCTATTTACCTATAATTGTTACACTTAAATACCAATTAAAATTAGATAATCTACGATTATTAATTTATTAACTAAATGAAAAGATACAATTAAAACGACTTAGAAAGTTTCTGTTCGGACTTATCCGCAAATGAGTGTTTTGATCTTGTGATGTACAAGTCTCCAATTGGTCAGCTAAGGCGAAATTAACCAAAATTACTTTTTTTGATGTATTTATGGTTATATAAGGATACTTATATTATCAAGAATGCAATTATACGGTATTTAGATCAAATATATTGAATTCTTCTCTTCACATTTCTATTGTATATTCTTCATTTAAAATTAATTATTTCTACTTTTGAACAAATTAAGAGGTCCTACTATTTGGATGCCGCCAAGTGAAACCCCGAAAGTTTAAAAAAAAGAATTCTTTACATAACGAATGCGAGCTTTTAACCGATCTGACTAGAATAATAAATTATACTGCTTTTGATCACGTATTAAAATCATTTAAAGCCCATACTCCGTTGTCTAAAAGAATTCTATTTTTAACTATTTTTAAACTTTCTGGTTTTCATTTAGCAGTAGGGATGGTAAAAAAACAGTTTTTCACCGATTTAAGACAGGTGATGATTAAAGTCCGAATAGTTAAATTTAGATTTGAATATAGTTAATATCATAATCATCCCCTGTTTTTAATTATGTAATGAAAACTTTTTCCATCCTTACTTGGCAGCACCCATTTTATACCCAGCATATGGTAATAAAAATACCCGTGACCTTAATATAATAATCAGGGTGTTTGTTTACCTCCATCCCAAGTTACCCAAAAAATCTTTTATAGATGATGCGTATTTCATATTCAAGTTACTTAGGCTACGTAGCATAAGTAATAAACTTTAAATTGTCATGATTCGCCATCCCTACTATATCACAAGAGATTCGTAATTGACAAGATGAGCAATACCCTGAAATAAATTGCATATAATAATTGAGTACTATTTTAACTAATATAAGAAAGTTCGTCTCTACACTTGGGTTGGGTCCCTAATACGAATCTGGTGATCTTACTACGTTCCTGGTTTATAATTTATAAAGCTACCCTAATTTTAAGTAATAAAGTATCTCAATGTGGAAATTATTTTTACTAAGTAAAAGTAAATTTCATGTTTTTGTTAGTGAAATAAATGAAACGTTACATTCATAATGAGTATACTTTAAAATGCGTAAATCGAATCAGCCGGGTCTGAGAAACATTCATTCAAACAAAATTTGAATTTCCTTATTTATAAGTGATGTACATACTGGTGCATTTTTTTATGTAATCATGATATTATGTCATTGGTTAATAAATCGGATAATATAAATACTCGACAAACATGGCTTAACTCTTCACAAAATGACATCCGAAACTTTTTCAAACGTTATTCTTACAAATGAATGTTATGATGAGATTTTTCAACATTTACTTAACGATAATGATAAAAATACATTACATTCTTCTTTATTAGTTAATAGATCTTTTTGCAGAAAAATCGTGCCATTATTGTGGAGCAAACCATTTTCATTATTGAAATTGGATCCATCAAAATCATTTATAAAAACTTTTGTATTGTGTCTCAACTCAAATGAAAAATTTAAATTATTCAATAATATCCTTAAAATTAAGGATAAAGTAATCGAAGAATATTCAGCTTTATTCGATTATCCAGCATTAATTAGAGAATTAGATTTCTGGGGATTATATGAATGTGTAAGGATTTGGGTACAAGAGGTTCGTTCAAAGTCCATCAGGATTGAATCATGGACAAATGATACGACATTTTATTTAATTAAAGTTCTCATCAGGCGTGGACAACATATTAATTACTTGAATTTGATTAACAACGACAAGATAATTGAAATTCCACCTATAACACGTTTATATAAAGCTGACGTTGCATTTTCGGAACTTCAATATCTTTATTGTGGTGGTTATAATGCGGATGTAAAGTCATATCCTAAATTAATGGAATATTGTAAAAACATAATGGAGATAGATATAGTACATTATCACAAATCATCTGATTCAAGTTTGGCTGCCTTAATTAGGTCACAACGTGGATTAAAAAAGATAACTTATCGATCTGTTTCTGGGGGAACATGGCGATTGGTAGCTGCTCTATCTCAGACACATTTTCTTAAATCCGTAAGCTTTATTTGTACAGACTTTGCCGATACTTCATCAAGAGGTTTGATTACATGTGATAATTTGGAAGTGTTAGAATTACTTGATTGTAGAGGAAATGATTTTGAAAAATTTTGGAAGCCAATCATGGAAAGATCAAAGTTTCGGTTAAAAAAACTCTCTTTGGCACGTACTTCTATTAATAAGGAAGCGATTGAGATACTTATCCGAAATGCTGGTGAAAAGCTTGAAGAAATAACCGTTGATTATATTGTTACTTCAACGATTCCTCGTTTTCTGGAAATGTTGGTCGAGAATTGTCCAAATATTGTTTATCTCAAACTTTTCCTTCTTCATCCTGAAGAGTTGACCACGTTATTGTCTACAATTTCAGTTGCTTTTAAACTCAAACAACTTGTCATTCGGACATCTGATATGGATGTTACATCGATTTTACCTGGACTAGCAAAACTGGTCCCGTCTTCGCTTCGTTTGCTTGATATGGATATGATGATTTCATCAAAGGCGTTACAAGAGTTTTTAAATGAATGTGAAGCACCAATCCAACGACTGATTTTGAATGCTGGTCATACAATAACCGATGATCATATAATGATTCTTATTCAGTATGCAAAAGAAAGAGGATGTTTAAAGTCATTGGGATATACTTATAGGACATTGAGTTGGAATTTATCTAGTTGTGTTTCCCAAGAAGTTGAAAATAAAGCAAAAGAATTGATTTCTTTTTATAATCCCGAAGATCCTGCTGATTTTCTATTTCCATTAGATAGGAATGATGAATTAATAGGGTCTGATACTTGGGACTAAAGAACAATGATGCTGGTGATTTCATATACGCTAGATGCTCAAAAAAAGTAAATGAAAAGTTGTTTGATACATGCAAATTATTAAAATTATTATCAAGAGGATTGTCAGCCAAATATATACAAATGTCATTTGAGTTTTTAGAGCTATTGAAAAATTTTTTTTCGTCGCATGTTTCAATTCAACAAGGCATAATGTTTATCATTTACAAAAACTTGTGATTAAGGCAGGCTTAACTTTATGCACCTGACTTTTAGTCATTTCGTGTTAGATTATTAGATTATTAGTTGACTTGATGGCAGTTTTACCGTGAATTTTTACTATAACCAAAGTTCATTTGTGGTTATAGTTGGCTAAAATCAAAATCTTGCACTGATTAAAAGTCTTTTCATGATTAAAGTCTGTTTAATGCTTCGTTGTGATTAAGGCTTTGTGTCATGGTCGAAGTTTTATCGCGATCAAATTTCATCATGTTCGGCCAGTAACTGAAAAAATAACGGGCGACCTCTGTTCCGCACTTTTATACTGTTGAGTGCAGTGTTCGGATAGGATTAGTAGTATTGAAGATTAATTAGTTACGATTACATTATAGCAACATTGCGACTTTTTGTAATACTGATGTAATCATGACTAGTATATAATTTGCAAAATTTTAAAAATTAATTAATAATATTTTTATAAATTTGTAAATAGTACTTAATTAAAAAAATTAAATAACATTTATTTAAATTTTAAAAAAATTTATTACTGCTTTCTTTTTTTGCTAATATTATTTTTATATAATTTAACTAGGCTATCAATTCTTATATAATTATATAATACAAAAAAATTACATAAAGCTTGTAATTTTATCTTGTAGAATTTCAAGTTTATAACAAATTTTAGTTATACGTATAATTATATAATAAAATAGCTAATCAAATTTTATATTTAAATTAATTCAAGCTGGGTTTATTTGAACTAGATTTTGGTTTAAATTAAATTATTTTGCGCTTACTTAAGTTAGATTTTGGTTACATTATGGATCTTCTTTAGTATAGGTGGGCATATATAAATTATTACAAGATTATAATATATAAAACCTATCTATTTGGGCCAATTTAAATTCTAACCTTAACTCTAACCCTAATAACTTATAAAATTACTTGGATTAGTTCAAAATAGTTAATCCATATATGTTATAAGTATATAATAATTATATATGCCCACCTATACTAAAAAGGGTTTATAGTATAAATAATATAGATTCAGCCAACTAAGATCTTAATATAATCTGTTACTAATTAAAAAAATAAGAAAAAATTACTAAAGTAAAAAAAAAAAAAAAAATTTAACTAAATTATATAGAAACAATAGTAATTTTTTATTTATTTATTTTTATTTTTTTTTTAAAGGTGAGGTTGTGCCTCGTATCTTTTATTAACACAATATATCATTTTACAATTTTATTCAAATTTTATATATAGAACTATATTAAAAGATCACAAGACTCCTTAGGTCTCCTCCAACCTATCCTAGCTAAAAATTAATTTGAAATAATTAATTATAGCATTTTATAGGAAATAGGGGGTGTAATGTCACATTGGGTGCCTTATGTAACACAAATGTCGTTAGAAATCTTTAGTTTTAGAATTATTTTTCTATTTGTAATAAAGTTTCTACTATGGCATTATATTAATAAAAAAA